CATTTAAGACTTTATGGAGATGAACAAACAAGTTTAGTGTATTTGTTTGTTTCATCTGTAAGAGGACGCTGTTTCACTAATATTCCACTTTCAGGGACATTTTAAGAACTAGAGAGGCTACTTACCATGAATGCATGACTTGGGGGTTTTATGCTGCAATGCAGATTCTGAATACTGCAGCTTGTTATTGATGGAGAGACTAGGTACAGTACATGTCTAAAGGCAGTTCTTTTCAGTAGACAAAAGCCTTACATGATGTTACTTTTACTGTCCATGACTTCGTCTTGGTTTGTGACAAACCCAACATTTTCTTAGGGGAGGAGATGTTACCAAAGTAACATTTGTCAGTTTGTTGCCTCATTCTGTACAGGCATGTCTCAGAATTGATCACAGCAAATATAAGTCATAATAATTTCCACCCACTTAAATAAGATAACAATTAACATGACACCGACCTAATGATGACTACTGTGAGCTATCCTTTACCGCACCCTGCCTGTAGTTGTTTAATTTGCAAAATGATTTGTATGAAAACCATTTTTTGTTGAAATCAGTTACACAACGCTGATCCAAGTCAGCTGATGAAGTGCACTCCGAAAATCCTGTGGGCTTAATTATCTTCTGTGTAATGCCTTCAGACACAGTTAATATTCATTCATCTTGCCCTCCACCCAATATAATATTGGACTTGCACTTCTATGGTTTATGAGGATACAGAATATTATAGTTCCATTTCCTGCTAAATAAGACTGCCAGATTTGTTTTATTGACTTGCTAAAAGTTTCTTTGATTGAAGTTTTCAATGATAGACTCCACAAATCCCAACCACTGGCCCAACCACTCTCATCATTGCAGTAGCTGCAATGATCACATTCTACCATTGCTTCATTTTGCTGTTGCCGCACTAATGATGATTCACTTATGTCCTAATACAAAAAGCACGAACTTGGCCTTTTCTATAGAAAATAAGCTCAGCAAAGACACTATCAGTAAAGCTTTGAACTTAATATCCCAGATGGTCTGTTGGCCAGTGAGGATGAAATAAATACATGACCCAACATTAAGGCAAGAATTAATTTGCTGCTCCCTGATGTAGAAACACAATATGTGTGTGAAAAAATGTAGGCTTATAAAAACTAATTATCATATAGTAACCCTATGATAAAATACTGAAAATAAAAATGTATAAAGCATTTTATTGTATATATATATATATATATATATATATATATATATATATATATATATATATATATATATATATATATATATATATATAGACATATAGACATATATCCCAAACCTTCCGGAAGTTCTGGGAGTCTCCCTGATAACGATAGTTGTTCACAGATGCCCGCGAGTCGGATAATTCATCCCAGATTTTAGACTATACGAAGTTGTTTTTTTTTTTTATGCAAGTGAGAGCGTGCAGCCAATGCAATAATTCGTGCATCATGTGCGGATAAGAACTGCTTACATTGCTCAAGCACAAGAGAGAGGGGAGTGTGGGGAGGAAGTTGCTTGTGAAACCTGAGCATATCTGTCCAAAGCGATGCTCTGTTTAACGAGCGTTCCAGGCAACTGGTTGTCAGAGAGTGCGCTGATTGGTTTAGTCAGAAAAATAAGCCAATAGGTTTTGATTTACTCTCTGACAGTCACCTAGTTACAACTCAAAGCTGTGCATCTGTGAAATGGCAGGGGTTGAATTCCCAAGTAAAAAAATGAAAACATAAAATTAACTTTACAACAGAATATGCTTAAGTATATCCATGACTAGTGAAGGTGAAGAATGATGACACCGTGGCGAGGTGTACTATATGCTGAAGTCCCAAAAAAAATAGAAAGCACAACAGATGTTCTAGGCTGGCATATTGAAACTATTGAAATGTATAAAAGACAAATAATCTTCTGTTTTGTGTTTAAGAAATTACCGTTAGTTAATAAAAAGTTGTTGCAAAGTTGGTCGGGTTGGTTTGGGGGGTAGGGATAACATATTGTCCCTTCTGTTGAGTGGTCATTCACTAAAAAAATATTTAAAATTTAACATTTCAGAACGAGTTGCAGTTGTTGTTCAACTTGTAGACACAAAAAATATTCAGAAACAAAACATTTTTCATTTATTAGTCATGTCTTTAATGTTTTCACTTAATTTTTTGTGTGTTACTGTTATAATTTTTGTAATTGTTTTGGACATCCGAAATATGTCTGCGCAATATAAATATGTAATGTACACACTCAGACAAAGACTTGTTTATCCTAAAAAAAAAACAGAAAAACACCCAATACAACAACAAACACCCCAGTCTAAAGATTGACATGAATAAGAGAGCGGACAGCAAGACAGGCCTTCTCAACCAACATCAGTTTCTGACCTCACAAATGTGCTTCTGTAAAATGTGTGGCAAGGCAACTAAATACATTTGAGTATACAAGTGACCTATTCTCTCCCTCTGTGTGTGTGTGTGGGGGTTTTTCTTTATTAAACAAGCAGGATACAATCCCTACGTCAACCTGGACAGACTCACACAGAGAAAAGCCGCAATTAGAAAATATTAATCTTATTTATACAGGTAACACAATCATCTTCAATCCCTCGTACTGAGCATGCATGTAGTAACAGTGGAGAGAAAAACTAAATTTTAACAGGAAGAAACCTCCAGCAGAACCAGGATCTGTTTGAGTGGCCATCTGACAAGGTCAACTCGCGTTCAAGGAGACAGAAGCAGATAAAGATATAGACGGCGCACTGGCCCTGGCAGAAGACTTTGATGTTCTGAATCAACGTATGCTTGGATGAGTAAACGAAAAGGATTAGCCTGGTCTTCCCCTCCGGGGCCCGGATTCTGATGGTGGAATAAGCAAGAGGGTAACTGGGACTGAGAATAGTCTGAGAGTGAGGGAGGAGATGGGGTGGAGTAGTGTAGGTGGGTGAAACTTTGTTTGCGTGCAGGAGAGAGAAGATGTGCCAGGAGGTAAATGAAGGGAACCTTGAAAGCTGATTGGCTTCGGAGATGGTGTGGCCCACGAGTTGATTGGCTTGAGCGGAAAGAGGGACTTTGCAGTTGGTTTAGGTGAAGAGTCTTCCAGATAGAAGTTTTGCATAAGCTTCATTACTTGGAATATTTTCGAAATATATGGAAATGCTGGTGATTTTAAGTTATTTTATTTTCAATGCTGAAGAACAGATTATTATTTACCGGAATTAAGGGAATTTTAAAGCTGTAAAAGTATTTTTTGTTCAACTATGGTTAATATATATGTTTTCAATTATTGTTTACCCAAAACCCTAGTATGAAAATAATTTCTCCTTTTAATAGAGAAAGAAGAAAGGGATGCACTCCTCAGCACTCTTTCAGACTTTTTTCTCTGTAATGAAAATGAGCAAAATAAATGTTTTGCTTTTACTTCCAGAATTATACTTCTTCTGGTTTAAAAAACAATCAGCATTGGAGTGAATTAAAAAAGAGCTCTAAGACCTAAGTTCACCCCAACTTCCTTTTATTCTAAAGCTTTGTTCAGAGTTTCCCATGATGTTTTTTTATAGACCTGTCAAGTCGACTGCACATAATAGTTTCTGTCAGCTAATACTTCAAAGGCAACTTTGATGAAGTACACTTTAACAAGGTACCACTGCATTCACAATGGGGACCTGGCAAAAGGATTTCTTCAAGCACCAAAGTATATGTGTTGGCTCATTTCGTTATGTAGGCCTGCTCAAATTAGTACAAAGTTCAGGTGCCTCATTTGGCTTAATGAAGCTCAAAGGTTTGCTGTAAAATCTTGTCCAATTTGCGTTTCTGTCAAGGTGCAGTGGAAATTGTTTTTTTTCACATCCAGCAAACAGGAGTTGCAATTTAAGTGTGCCTCACATTTTAAGCATAAGGCAATGCAAATGGGTCATTATATCCAAGACAGAAAAACAATAAATAAATAAAAAATGTAAAACATTACTAAACATTCAGCTAATATTGCATATTCTGAAGCTGTAATATCACAAGTATACAATATATTGAAGCAGTAGCCTCTGTATGAAATAAAATGTTTACTTTTTTAACAGGTTTTGTTTTTCTGTTTAATATATCTCTCAGTAATTATTATGATTGCTTTGGCAGAATTAAAAACATTGGTCCAAAATGTATCATACAGCAGTATTAGAGGATATTAGATGATCATAATCTTTTTTTCTCATCTTCCCATACATGTTGAAGTATTTAAAGGCTTTTAAGAAGAATAACATTATGTTATGATTTGTCTTAACATACCATGGGCCACAATGCATTATTGTAAAAGTCAAAGACTGTGCATGCATTGTTGGCCACATGTCTATTTCTTTAATGATAATGTATACCCAATTTTCTGATAGTTAAAGTCTTAGCCGTTTGTCTTGACAAAAGGCTGACTGAATCCTGGGATATCCAAGGATAGACAGGATACCTCGGACCCATCCTTTAAATTGGGCAAAAAGAAGGACGCATTTTAAGGCTGCATAAGGAGGAGTCTTGGAATCCAACCAGACCTCGGCGCCGCGCTATAATGTAATCGTCCTTCGAATCTGGCCTTCAGAGGACGCATCCCATGAATTCGAACAGAGCCCATGTCTCCACTGCAATAAAATCCAGTGGTGTCATGCGTCTGACATATAACATTGCATGTGGCGATAATGATTCGCATTATGTTATGAATTTATATTTTTTTCCTTTTTCAACTTTATAATGCATTTCCGTCTTAATACCTTTGATAATGGGCTGTTGAAGTTTTAAATAGTTTTGAATAAAAAAAAAAAGAAGGAAAACAGCAACAATGGTGCTCAACATGAACATATGTCTCTTTTGAAGCACACATGCTCTTATAAAGGACTATCTGCCCACAGTGCCCAGGGAGCTAAATTTCTTATTACAATAACGTTTCGCATTAAAGATATCTGTCCAAATGTGGTTTTAATTGACCAAGAATTTAAAAGTAAGGATTTGACTCATTTCCAACCCTTTATTTCTTTATAGTGCCCCCCAGGTCTGAGTCCAATGAAAGATGGGACCGGGTGCTATGACCACCACATTGGGATTGACTGCTCTGACGGCTTCAATGGTGGATGTGAGCAGCTGTGCCTCCAACAGCTGGCCCCTCTAGAGGATGACCCAACACTTTACAACATCCAGATGTTCTGTGGGTAAGCAACAACACAACTCAGCAGTTTATTATCTGTAATTACTCTTAATTATTAGGTTTTATAAACATGTCATCTTAATTCATGTCACTGTAAATGACACATTGTGTCACACATGAAAAGAAAAAACTTACTGTATCATGTCATAAACAAGTAAGGAAAAATCTCCATCCCGTGAGCAATGCCAAAACCTCCTGATCTCAAAAAAGAATATTATTTAACACCTAGTTCTGATCAGACATGCATAAAAACGTATTTGAACAAAGTGAAGGCGTTTAATTTATGCAAGATTCTGATTCCTGTGATGGTGGAAGACATTCTTTGTCAGGATCCAGAGGCTTGCCCACCAGAGGTCAAATTTAGTTTCTGTTTCAAAAATGTACTTTAGAAAATATCTTATTACACTTCTAAATAGGAATGTCATTTTGACCAGGAAAATCCTATTTTAGCGATCTACAAATGGGACAAGAGAGGCGAGTGCTTTTAATAAATGTAAAATGGCCTGCCATAGAACACTTCATATAAAGTTAAGCATTAGGCGTAGGGCTGTATGGCTGTTTTTCTATCTTCTAAACACTTTCTCGATTTTGTTTCTTCCTTTCTGCATAAATTAAAACTCAGCAATGATGGAAAAAACATCATTTCAATTAACCAGGTAGACTGGCAGAGAGATAGGGTTGTTTAAAAAACTTATATTAAACAAAAAAAAAGGTAATATACTGTAGAAAAGAATCAAATGCTCCCTAAGTATTGGTTGTGGCAATGTTTACTGTATTATCACTACAGTATTTACATTTACACAAAGCTGTTTGGTGTTCATTGTTCTGTGATGCATCTACACCGCTGTCCCTCAATTCATACGTGCTTATGTTAAAACATGTTATATCATTCATAGCCGACTATTCTTCGAAAAGGGCAGGGAGATTAGGAGATGTGAGTTGAAAACGTATATAATGTGCTTTTATAAAGCAGAAAAGGTGATAACAAATAGCAGTTTTAATTAAGAGTTAAAAGGATGTGTGCCAGCTTTTTTAGATATATTATCACCCTGACTACAAACCCAGATGCTATCTCTTCTATTTTCCAATTTAATTTAATTACCGTAGGCTTTTGTCAAGTGATGTATTTACTAAATGTTTATGATTCTGAAATTCATTATTAAGAGGCCAACCTGATGATCTCAACATATAACATTGTTAGTTGTCACTTCAAAATGCTATTTCAACTCCAGTAAATTATATTACATTTTAATGGGTTTAGCTAAGATAATACTTGGTAAATGGGAAATATTGCATATCTATTTAATTCTTCCAGTTATGTACAAGAGCAGACTTTCTCTCCACTCACCTAAAACCCAAGAAATCAATCCCTTTTATTTCCTCCAAGCGTTGTTTTTACACTTGGGCCTTGGTTAGTTGCTGTTAGGTAAGTAACCAAGGTCCCTTCAAAGTGAAGTGACTGTCAGGCAGAAAACACCGTAGCATCTAAAAGGATGGTTGCTGTAAGAAAATAATTTGTCATGATGTGTTGGTTGAAGGTTTTTATAATAAATGAGTGGCTATGAAGGGTGACCCCAAACTGTAGATCCTTAAATATGACAGCAGTACTGTTTTCCAGACCAAGGACCCCCAAACTGATGGCGAGATGGAGCGGGGACCCCCTAACTATATATATTGTATGAAATTGTGTCCTATAGTCACTCTATTACAGATGGAGTAATGTAAAGAAATTAATTTCTCCCTGGGATTATTAAAGTTTTTCTGATTCTGATTCCTGGTTGTTGTGAATGAAACGGTGCCCAGCTTAAAAGAGCTCCTATGTGTCGCTGAATGTGTGCATTGATGACTGAAAGACATCTTTTGTCTCCATTTATCTGTCTACTACAGTGTGTTGATTTCATGTTAATGAGTATTTAAAGACATTTCAATTAGTGGGGGAAAAAATTGCAGGGGGGGGAATATAAAAATATCAACTAACCATGCAGACCCTCATGCAGTACCTCCATAGACCCCCTAGGGGTCGCGGATCCCCTGTTGAACACCTCCGCTCAAGAAGATTTTACTAACACAAACTAAGGGACCAGGCTGAGGTAGGAATTTAAGGTTACTGAAGTGCGGATTTTTTTACTGAAAGCCGGCGGGCAAACTTGTTGCCATCATCCTCACCGACCACCTGGTCATAAAACTGTTTTAAGTGATCATACTGCTGCTTTGTCGCCTCCACGCTGCTGTGGCTTCCACACGGCATTTTGTTTTGATGACGCACGCGGCTGTAGGCTACGACACTGGTAGCTGGTGTTGCCAGATTGGGTGTTTTCCCCGCTACATATTAAGGCCTGTTTACGGTGTGATTTAGCCAGGGTTTCGCCTGGAGGGCTCTATAGAAATCTGGCAACCTATTGAACGGAGCTGAACTGAGAGAGCGTGCCGTTCACAGACACCAGAATGAACGAGTTCACAATAACGTTCATCCGGCAGTAATGCAGTACGTTCAGTTCACGTTCGCCCAAAATATGAACGAGTTCATGAACTTTCGTTCAATGAACGCGTTCAGGCACATATATATATATATATATATAACCCTATCAAAATATGTTACATATTTCTATTTTCTATTATTTTCTATTTCTATTTCTATATATTACATATTTCTCCGCTGTGAGATCAATAAAGCTCATCTAATCTAATCTACATATGCTTAAATTATTTCTGTACAAAGGGGCAGAACTGGAACATTTTGAGTACCACCGCAAAAGCTTAAATTTTTGACATAAATTGTTGTGCTACGAAATTGCTTGTAGACTGCTTTATTTATCACTTAGATTTGTATTTGCAGAAATATAACAATTCTAATTAACCAAACTCTTGTTCCTTCTACAAATATTCAGATCGAATACATTTAAGTTTATAAATATAGTCTAAGAGAATTTAGAAAAATCTCATGGGGTATGGATACTTTTGCGGGTCAGTGTTTAGTTAGTTGAATATTGAAGACTGAATAGATTCATGTGTACAGTAAGCTACCAGCATTGCTAATTAACTCATTTGTACTTGAAAGAAGCTATCTTGCCCTTAAATGCCATCTTGAAACCTAGACAGCATTTAACACATTTTTTAAATCTGGGAGTGAAACAAATTTCTGTTGCTTTTAACTCTCAACTAAAGCCTTTTTTCCCATCTTTTCTCATAATGAAGATGTAACTAATGGGAAGCCTGATGTGGAAGACTGGCATTAGTTTTTCCAAATTCATTATTCGAGGGTAATGTTTTTATTTTGTGTTTTAAATGCACCTTTTAACTTTATTTGACCCTTCAATGCTAATATGTGAAAAAAGAATGCTAAATTACAATTGTAGGTTCTTTCAGTATCCTTTAAAGGTTTATTTAACCTCTCAGCTCAAACTCAAATACTTATGTCCATTGTCAGACAACTTCTTAATGTTTAATCAACAGACCTAAATCAAATGGTCAATCTACTTTGCTAGCATAGTGTCAAGTTCTGCAGAGCTCTGCTAATGATTTGTGTTGGACTCAGGTGTACTTAAGCAGAGATGCAGCTAAAGATTGCAGGATTGCTTCCTTGTAAGACCATTTGTTTTCTCCTATGAGATGCAGATTTTCTCTGAGCCCTGATTAACTCTTGAAAGGCATAGATAAAAGATCAATACACTTATGTGAAAGTAAATTGGTTGGGAAGACAGTAAATATCTTAAAAGATAAATTGTATTGCATTGTAACTGTATTTTTTTTATTATGATTTCAGGTGCATTGAGGACTATAAACGTGGTCCTGATGGAAGGTCATGCTTACCTCTATCTGAAGTCTGCACAGAGGGTGTAGACTGTGGGGAAGCAATAGACATCCCTGCCAACCAGACTGTCTTTGGAGACCTCTTCTACGGCTACAACAACCAGACCCAGGAAAGCACCACTGGTCAGATACTGAAGGCCACATTCAGGTAAACACACAAGCTGTTGGTGAAGCATAGTCTGTGGTAGACTGTCCTGCCATTTGTATCACAGCAGGGAAACAGTTGGGGAAGGGTTAGGTTTTAGGTTCCCACTGTGCTGACATCTTTGTGATGGATCACTTTCAAATAACAGCCTCTCTGTGGTGGCTGGGTAAAATAGATTGCTGTGGCAGGTGTATACGAAAGATAAAATAAGGATGAAATAGATTTTGGTCTTCCATAAGAAACATATATTGGGCTATAAGCCTGTGGTTAATAAATAAAGCAAAGCAAAAAACATAGCAAGAGTTCTCAAAAAGAGACATACTGTAAAATATCACGTTAAAAAACTATGAAGCCCTATGTTGGTCATTAATTAGTGGTCATTGTGTTAAATAACAATGCAATGTAGATGTGTATTTGAGATTTCAAAATTCTTAAAGTTATCTGAGCTAATCTGCTTTTCAATTTTAATAGATTTATACCATGTTAATTATGCTGCTTCAGGGGTACTAATTATTTTCTGATACCTGCACTTTTACTTTTTAAAAGTTTTTGCTAGTGTACTGAAATAAAACAAAACTCCAGCTGACCAGCCAGCTATACTGCTTGAACTTGTGCCAATGCCTTCAGCCGTATTTATTTTTCAAAGATAGATAATGACAATGTATGTCTTAGAGGAAACATTTTCTACATTTCTTCAGCCTTAGAAATATCTTTCTATATAAGCAATAAAGAAAAGTTACATATAGCCGGTCAATAAGGAGTTATTTGCTATATTATGCTGGGTATACACTGTGTGTTTAGCAGCTGTTGCAGATTAAGGAAAAGTGTTGCTGGAATAGGGTGGTGGAATTGGTTGTAGATTTAAATCTGCTCTCTTATGTCCCACTGTGAGGAATGTTATAGAGTCTTTTGAAAAAACAATTTTCTGAAATAATTATCTGACGGTGCCTGATATTTACATTGATAATCTCACAGTGAAACAGCTGCTTTGACTTAGATCTACTGATAGAAATACTGCTGCTGCCTGAGATGGACCACATAAGGGAAGATAAATGAAAGGCGATGTATTTTTAGGAATTTTTTTAATATGATCCTAAGAAAAAAAAAGGTTGCCAGAACATTATTAATTTGGATATAGTAACAGTAACCATGGAAACTGGTAATAAATGAGTAACAAAATGAGTGGCCAGGAAAAAAATATATAAATTTCAGTTGGAATCTTTCTGGACTCTGATGCACTGAATAATTAAATACATTTTTCACATGCCACGATGCGATTCTATCACAATGCATCATGAAACTTGAAATATTGCGATGCATTGCGATATTTTCACTGAACACTGTAAAAAAAAGATACAGCCCTTACCAGTGGCTGACTGGCTGTGTGTGATCTAGATAGTGGCTTCAATTAGTAATTAACTGAAAGCAACTGAATTCATACATAGCTGTATTTATTGAAACGACTTTTGAAGGTGTTGCCATGAAAACAAATACTGCACAGAAATATTACTATTACTGGTGTCAACACACTGACAAAAAGATCTTAGGATTCATCAAACTTAAAATAACAAAATAAGGATAATCAGTGCCGTTTACATGGCCTCAGTGGTCCTTTAAACCAATGAAATGAAAACATTCAAATGTATGACATTTCCCCTTTTGCAAATTATGTGCATCATATCAATTTCGTTTTTACCTTCTTTGTTTTTAAAGCCTAAATGCATCCAAGCATCTTACTTGAAATGTGATGGAGCCGGGGGGACGAATTTTCTCAGTCTCCTCAATGTTTTGTTTACGAATGACTCGTCTCAGTATCCCGCGGCTGGACATGCATGTGACACAAAGCAGCAGGCGTCAACACATCCGCAGCGACATCTGCTGGACTGGAAGTTGTATTCCACTTGGTTTGGCTGATGTGCGGCAACCATTCGTGTATTTTGTTTGTTCATTTTTTTTTTTATATAATCAATTCTTGCCTTCAAGAATCGATGCAGTAGATCACAAAAATTAGAATTGCGATGCATCGTCATGACGATTATTTTGCACACCCTTAATATATATATATATATATATATATATATATATATATATATTTATATAAACTAATCGACATGAACTTGGATTAAAGATAATCATCCTAAAGAAGTCAGATTTATTATTGGACTATGTTTTATGTTTATTTGATTGTAGTTATGCTTTGGGAGAATTTGGGATTAAAGAACTGGCTAATTTTGTTTTTAATTGGGCAGGTAATCCAGCAGGCTGACAGAGCTGAGATATTATCTAACCCTAAATTCTCTTCCTAAACTAGCATATTACTAGCTCCAGCCTCAGCTAAATCCAAATTCTCTCTTTTTTTTTTATTTTGATGTCTAGCGGCACAGATTTATGTCATACCCTGATCTGACGCACCCTGATAAAGTGGCCTGTTGTCATAAGTTGTAAGTGATTTTTTTTAGCAAATGGTGATCATAAAATATGAACTTGATCTCATATCAAAGACAGTTACTTCCATGTAGCATATTGTGGCACCAAATACTCTTATAAGATTGCAAAAATTGTACAATGTAGGAAGGCCATTAGTCTGTCATTGTCTACAGTATACTGGGGCATTTCCAAACCCGTTTTAACAACTTTTATTAGTAGTGATAAATGTGATAAATGTAATTTTCTCTGTAATTTCAAAGTTATACTCATTTGGGTCAAAGTCTTGGAACCGACTACTAGTAGGCTGTTTCTACATTCTGCCTGCTCATCAGGTTCAAACGAGAAACAATATGGCAAACATCCAGCTGTGTTTAATTTAGATCTATCTCTGGACTTTGTTGACATTAGCTTAACAATGTGATACTGATATTCAATTTCTCTCTAGTCAAAATCTCACCAGATGTGGAGAACAGCACAACTCAAATACTTAAAAGGAAAGTATTATGCAAAATCCACTTTTTTAGCTTTTAAAGAGTTTTGCTATACTGTTTATGTCCAGGAATGTTCAGTTCCATTTCTACAGGTCTTATTTTAACACTTTAATTGCTGTTTGGGTAATTTTTTTTTAGTTTGTTCGGTTTTCTCTTTAAGTATTTTTTTTCCCTCTATTACATAATACTTCAGGCTGTGGAATTGCTAAATAAGGTCATTAAATTTCTGTTTGAAAACCAAAGAATCAGCCATTTTTTTTTTCTGGTGGTATTTCTGTTGACAACTTAATGCCTTTGTCACTATATCTAGCGAGTTTTGAGACCCGTCTAGAAGCTGTTTTTTTTTTTTAAAGCGACTAGCAAAAAATCTAGCAACTTTTTCTGTGCTGTTAAAGTGTTTGGTAACTGCATAAGCATCAGTCGCTCTGAATTTACGGTCTTCAGTAAGCAGAGGTGGTTGCTGCAAGCCCTCCTTAGCACTAACAGGCAGTCAGAGTCAGCAGCAAGCCATGCCAGAGGAAGAACAAATCCCCTCTGTTTTCCCATTGAAAATTAGTAAACCAATGCACTAGGCCTCTACTGATCTGCTTTAAAGCAAGATGCAAATCTGATATTTACTGTTTTTCTTTTTCTTTGAAACTTTAGTTCCCAGAAAAGATCCCTCCTAGTTTATACACAGCCTCAGCCACTTCCTGTACCTCTGCTAACTATCTTTAAATTAAATTTGATAACATAAGATTATTTATGTAGTTTTGGTTCAGGTAAAAATATAATAAGTATTTTATAGAGTATATATTTAGTTTAAATCTTGTTTAGAGTGTTTTTAATTACTTTCCAGCTTGCTGGTGTTGATATTCCTCTCTCATACGAATGGATCAAAGCATTACCAAATATGCAAATAAGCTTATTACATCACTTAGCAACCTCTAGTTACCTTTAGGAAAGCCAAAAGCGACTTTCTTTGGTGAAAAGTTGGTAATTTGGCTGGCAAAGTTGAAGGACTTCGAATCAACAAAGCAATGAATTTAAATAGATGGTTCCTTGGTGTATTAACTCGCACAAGTCATTACACCATCTACCAGAATCAGAACCTCTTCTAAGGGTCTGATTGAATTTATTCTTGTCATTCAAGGTGAAGGTGCTGTTTGTTTTTGCAAAGCCTCGGCCAGAATGAGCAACTACAGAAAAGACGGGTACAGCGAAGCGAAAGGCTTATGTTTCCACTGTACGCTAGATTTGACTCCTTGAGGACATAATCTCATTGTGGGTTTTTAATAACATTACACAAAAAATTCTCTTTGGTTGCCATTTTTGTCTCGGTGAACACATTACAATATATGAATATATTTTGTTATGCTATTGGTGCAATATGCATATAAAATATATTAAAAAAATAAATAAAAAAAAACTTTTTTTTTTTTATCATCCTTACTGCCATTTCAGACCTATAATGATTTTTTTGTTGTTGAGACGTCAAGCCCAGGATGCTGTATTTAAAGCTCCATGAGTAAAGTAGGAACAAGTTAGCAGACTGCAAATGAGGAAAAATGTTAAAAAAAACGTCCAATTCTAAGAAAAATTATAAACATTTTTTTTGCAAATGTTGAAGTTTTGAAGCAGCCATTCCATGCTCTAAATAAAAGTTTTAGACATAATTTTTGTGTTCGGCCTATTTTTTTAATTCATCCCGCTGGATATTGGTGAGAGAAAGCCCACAGCTCATTTATATACCGGCTTTGTTTGACATTGCGCTGGCATGTCAGTCAACTGACTGCTCGCTTAAAGTAAGAGCAAGGCTACTTATGCTACTTGACCCTTCTAGTAGAATAGTAGAATCAACAAAAACAGCAGCAGATTAATATCATTGGTGTTTGCACAAATATTATGTTTCTCGGTATGAGTTTATTTGTTTAAGAACAAGAGAAAACAAGAACTCTGCTTTTTTATTATAAGGTAATATGGAAAGATGGAGAGATGATTGTGTTTTTTTTTTTTTTTCATTTCCCCACTAAGCTTAATATGTACTGTAAAACAAGGATAACAATTGCATACTTCTTTTGCACTCTGTCTTCTGTTTTTCCCAAT